TTTGATATTAATGATGATGACGATTATAATAATGGTAATGATAATGATAAAGGTAATTATAGTGAAAATAATGAGAACAACACTCTTAATTTACTTATAATTATCATAATTACCATTATCCCTGTTACCATTATCACCATCATCACTATCACCATTAACACCGTTACTTGCATCACCCTCATCACCCCAAGAATTCCTCCACAGGAAAACCCGCCAGTGAGGTCTTCTGAGTGCCATCGGAGCGGCACAAGTGTCACCCAAGTTAGTTCCCCCGCTGAAAGGGTGTTCATAATACACGCCCCCCTTGGATACATTGGCACTATTCAACGTCGTGTTTACGTTTTCGAATTCGGTCGCCAATGGGGGAGACTAATATATTTTTGGAGATTAAGTGAAAGGATTTTATTTATGATATATTGCCTTGGATGATGTTAGTTTACATTTTTTTTTTATCGTGGGTATTGACATCGTATTACGTGGGGGTTGTTTGTAGCTGGAAAGGGAGGTAGGGGGAGGTAGGGTGAGAGGGAGGGAGAGAAGGACGGAGAATAAAAAGATGGGGAAGGGGGATGGTAAAGGGAGAGAGGGATGGAAAGAGGGATGGAAAGAGGGAGAGGAGAGAGAGAGAGAGAGAGAGAGAGAGAGAGAGAGAGAGAGAGAGAGAGAGAGAGAGAGAGAGAGAGAGAGAGAGAGAGAGAGAGAGAGAGAGAATATTTTCTTCTTTATGATTATTGATAGCATTCCCGTTGTTAGTATAAATAACTCTTGGTATCACCATTATCACTATCACCATCACTATGATACTGATTAACATTCAATCCCAGGAGACATGCAATTTTACCTGCAATATAAATATGCACACACACACACACACACACATATAACTGTTTCTACGTAAGGATTTTTTCTTTTTTCCAGAATTATGTATTTCCTTTCCTGCTATTTTGAATTAATGGTAATTTCAATAACCGATGCTCGGTTTTGCAATATTCCTTACGTTGTTGATATACTGGGGAGAAGTTTAATATTTGTCATAAATATAAACGACAGACAAGACTAGCTTTTGTTTACTTTGACATACCTGAGTGTACAAATCTCCGTAGGCCTACATGTGGCTAAATAGATCTGCCAAGGTCAAATCGACGAATGCCCATAAGCTGAATAAGAATATATAAATAAATGAAAATCAACAGAAACTTGAATAGGCTTGGATCGCAGGCGGATTGGCCGAGCTATATATAACCGACCTACCACTGTGAAACTCGCTCATTGCTCGCCTCACTCTTGCAGAAGTTATACCTTCCAGTTGCCTGCCTTTCTGGGCCACAACTACAACGATGAGGTAAATGACAGACATACAGACAAACATATTTGTTCTCCTCCTCACTTGGCAAATATTCACTTTCAATCAACTACACAGAAGTCGTATCTAAATAGCATCAATTTTTATTTTACTATTTAGATGATATATTGCCTAATTCCTAATTGTTTTCGATCGCCTAATCGTCCCTTCGAAGCTGAAATTTCTTTCATCATTTCATCTATAGTCTGTATTATTTTTCTCTTTGCACTTTACTTTCATTTTTCGAAACCTTGCCTACCGGATTCAAGATACTTTACTGACCCTTTGTGTAGTGTGACCAGAATCTCGGTTCATTCATGTCACCTGCATATCGGTTATCTGGTGTCCCTCGAAAATATAATTTTACGGCCTCAGCATACGACAGTGAAATAATTCAACTGAAAAAAGGAACTTTAATTAGTAACTGAAACTGTGGTGGTGTTGGCTAAAACCAGAGCTAGCTAATGTACACTTTTATAAGGCAGTGAACTTTACGATATAAAACTGAATATTTTTTGTGTATTGAAAATTGAGGAAGCTTACCACGCGACTGTATAAGCCTATTATAATAACCTAGATAACGAAATTTTACAATATACTATTTCCTGGAATTCTCATATTGTATGAGTTACACAAAAGCGTATCACTGACGCTCATAATGTATGATACATGTTCGTATTATATTTATTTTATAATTCCTTCCGAAGCTCTATAGAATTACGTCTCCTTTTTATCTGTATTCACCTGTTTACCCTTTCCCATTTCTATATATTTCTCGGTTCTTTTGTCTGTTTCTCCTGTGCTTCTATCTCTGTTTTGGTTGCAATTCTGTCTGCCGGTCTCTCCCTCTTCTTTGTCCTCTTCTGTCTCTGTCTGTCTGCCTGCCTGCCTGCCTCTCTCTCTCTCTGTATGTGTGTATATATGCAAATGTGTGTGTATATATATATATATATATATATATATATATATATATGTATATATATATATATATATATATGCATGAGACACATATATGTACATATCCATCTATATTTATCTATCTATGTATCTGTTTTTATCTATCTATTCATCTATCTATTTAGCTATATACATACATACATACATACATACATATATATATATATATATATATATATATATATATATATATATATATAT